CAATAAATCTGACTTTTGTAAACACGGGTCAAAACCAGAAATACCCTGTCAAGAAAATACAGAAAAGAATTTGTAAACAAGTAATAGAAAAATTGAATAACAACAAATCTCAGCACAATCTGTATTAAATTAATTATAAAATCTCTTCCAGGTTTTAATTCATTTCAACTCCAAATGACAAATGGAGTTAGGATAATTCACAATAGTTTGTATTAACTGAATCACGCATGAATCCCAGTGCTGGCATGATCATGCCTTTGCACTCACATCACTGTTCATTTGTGGTCACATTGAGAAATACCCCATTTTCATGAATCCAAGACATCTTCAAATTTAAGACAACCCCCAATTATTGGATTCCATGCATGGAAAATGTATAATGGTTACAATTTTCCATGTACAGAATCTAAGTATTGTCCTAACTCATCCTTTCCACCACTGCAACAAGGAAAGCAGCAGCAGGGAGACGGGTGGCCTGATCTCTACCCCTTGCCTCCCTGGACCTTGGCCCCTGCCACTTGTCCCCCATGATGCCTGTGCCCCCTGCTGCCTCTTCCCCGGCCACTTGTCCCTCTGCCACCTGTCCCCCACATTTGGTCAACCCTGCTGCCTAACCCCATCCCACCACTGCTTACACTCAGCTGGGGCTCAGGCCCCACTCTGCACCAGACCAGGAAGCAACAGTTGCTGTCACAGCACCAGCAGCCCTGGTCCCAGCCTCAGTGCTGCTGCCACCACTGCCACTGTGAGAGGAAGACTGGAGCCACAACTCAGGGTAAGCGGCAGTAGAGGGAGGTGGTAGGGGGAGGCAGCACAGGATGGGCACAGGCAGCAGGGAGGAGGTGGTGGTGCAGATGGCTGCAGCTCTGACTCAGACCCCGAGCCTAGAGCCAGAACTACAGCAGTCACCCTTCCTGAGAATCACTGCTCTGGCTGCTCTAAATTTGATATATCAACTGAATTCACCCCACCACTGAATTGGGCAACTGGTGCCTCCCAAACCTGGGGAGATTGCTGAGGGGGGTCCCCTGGCCACCAATTGCCTACCGAGGGGGGTCCTCCAGCAGCATCCAGTTTTGTGGCTGGCGTTTCCAGGGGGTACACGGCTGATTTCAGGGGGTGCACTACGCATCGCCAATGGCTTAGAGTGAAACTCACATGTCAGTGGATGGAATAAAGCACTTCAGAGAGCAGAAGGGAATTAGGTTATGAAATGACCAGCATGCAGTTCAAGAGCTACAGGCCAGTCTGACTTGAATTGGGAGACTGGAATTATTGGGGAGGTACTTAGCCCAAAGCCAGACAGAAGGCAGGGTAGAGATGCACATTACAGAGAGACTAACTGCTCCTTATAGATAGGCTAGCTGTATGTCACCTGGCCTGCAGGGCTCCCTCTGGGTCTGGCACTTTGGCAGCAGGGGAGTGGCAATTAGCAGGCTCCTATACACGTGCAGGGAGCCAGCTCCAACACGCTGTAATTCCAGCATGTTGGAGCAGGCTCTATTAATCAAGTTTTCTGGAGTGTGGAAATGAATGTGCTCCAGCAGACTCTAGCATCACGTGTATCAGTGTCCCCACGCTGAAAAATGACAGCAGAGCACTTTCAAGTAAAGCTCACTCAATGAGCTTTAGCTCAAAGTGCCCCACTGCCATTTTTCAGTGTGTGGGACGTTGATGCACGTGACACTCGGGTGCTTTTAATTAGCACAGCTCGCTAATTAAAGCACCCTCCCCACACTTCCCAGAGCACGTGTAAAAATGCCCAACATGACCAGCGCTTCCCCACTGCCAAATTTCTGGACCTGTGCGGAGCCTTGCGGGCCAGACCTGGCCTTTGGGCTGGCCTGTTTGTTATGTAAAGGGAAACAGTGGGCCTCAGTCCACTAAGAGAACTATAAACCTAGGGTTACCATACATCCAGATTTTCCCGGACATGTCCTCTTTTGTGGTCCTCTGATCTCTGTCTGGGCGTTTTTTTGAAATCTGAACACATGTCCAGGATTTTGCTCTGCTTCACTGGCGGGAGCAAGGGAGGGCAATTGGAGGCAGGGAACATCATGTATGAGTGCTCGCACACACACACATGGCCAGCGTGCAGCTAGACAGGGTGGTGGGAGCAGCCTCAGCAGCTGGATGCAGGTAAGTCTGTGGGGAGTGCGGGTTGGAGGGCCAGGGTTTGGGGACTGTCCTGGGGCAGGGGGTGGAGGAGATAGGTGCATGAGGGGGGAGGGTGCCTGCCGCACTGGGGAATGGTGTCTAGGCATGAGGGCTGCAGCAGGACACAGGGGCAGGGGGCAGATGAGAGCAGTGATGAGAGCAGTGGAGAGAGGGATCTTCAGGGGGCAGCGGGGAGCTGCACAGCCGAGCTAGTGGCACCAGAGGCCAGAATGGGAGCAGCTCCAGCAGGGGGACTGCGGGTTGGGAATGAGGGGTACTGGCAGGGCTCAGGGGACTGTGGCTGCGGAGTGAGGGGCACTGGGGGGGGGCAGGACTCTCTGGGCCAGGAATACAGGACACTGGCAGCACCAGGGGGCTGTGGGTCAGGAGTGAGGGGCACCAGCTTGGCCCAGGTGGGCAGGGGGCTGCAGGCAGGGAGTGAGTGAGGGGCAGCAGCAGGGATGGGAGGCTGAGGGTTGGGACTAAGGGGCACCAGCATAGCCCGGGGGTGTGGGGAGGGCAAGGGACTGAGAGTCAGGAGTGAGGGGCACCAGCAGGGCTGGGGCTTTGGGTAGGGAATGAGGTGTCCCCCTGACAGGTGTCCTCTTTTTTGGAACTGGAAATAGGGTAACCCTGTTAAAGCTCCTTTAATCAGGAGGCCACTAGATACAGAGGAGTACTGTGGACAACAGAGGGGAAAACAGGGATGGAAGTGGGGGTCGCAGGCTCATAACAGGCACTCCAAGGGCAGGCAGGGCCCTGAGCAGAGCACCCCAGGCAGCACCCACAGGCACTCCCATGGGTCCAAGGAGCCAGTGGGCGCCGCCCAGTGAAAGTCTGCCCCAAGACGTGCATTGAGAGACAGGAAACCAGCCCCAGATCACAGGTTGAGCCTCCTCCCCTCCCACCGCCACAGCCGGCCAGCTTGGCCAGAGCCAGGAGGAAGCGACCTCCAGATCTTGGGGCTGGACACGGGGTAGAGGGGGAGGTGCATTGGATCAAAGGGGTGCTGGGACCTTGGGCACAGGCCCCTGAGGGCAGCCAAGGGGCGGCGGGGCAACCCTGGAAGCCTTGCGAGATCTTGGGGAGAGGGGGCGGGGCACTGACACCTCTGGTTCCTTTGCGGGCGTGGTCCAGGCTGGGGGCGGAGCCTGTGGAGCGGCGGGGGCGACAAAGCGGGGCGTCCGCCTGAGTGGGGGGTTGTTTCTTTTAGGGGGATGAGTTGTAACCAGAGTTCTGGTTTCTTTTGAGTAATGGGAGCTTATCTATAGTGATCATCTTGTTTTTAATGCTATTACGAGGATATCTTTAATAAAAGAAATACAAATCAAATACAAAATAAAAAAAGTTGGCGGCCCCAAGGTCGGCGGAGAGGAGGTCACTGACGGTCGTTGGAGGGGGAGGCAGAGGCTGCGCCCAGGAAGCCAACAGGCAGGGGAGACTTCCAGAAGCAAAGGCCCCGCCCTGAGGGGTTTGTCCCTCGCCGGCCGCCGTAGCGAAGCCTAAGGCAGCAGCTAGAGGATGGCCATGCACTGTACGCTCACAGGGCTGAATCGAAACAGCCTCGCCTCGCCCCGCCCCCGCCCCCGCCGCTTCCCAGGAGCCAATGGGGTCGGCTTAGGGGCGAGCGTCACTTTCCCGGCAGACCGCCGGGGCCAATCAGGCGGCGCTTTGCTGGAAGCGGTTTTCTGGGTGTCATGGCCGCTTGCATAGGCTGCTGCCGCGGGGGGCTGCGGCCTCGGCACACCTGGCGTCACCCGTTTCTAGGCGCCGTGCGGCGCTGTCTAGGCCCGGGCTCCCGCCTGGCGCCGCTCCTCCAGGCCCGGGGCTTCGGCGGCGACCAGGCGGTGACCGTGGACTTGGAGGGCAGGTAGGGAGGGGGCCTGGTGGCCCCTCCCCCCCGCGTGCTGGGGCCCGTGGAAGCGGTGGTTGGTGCCGGTGGTGGCGACTGCGGGGGGGCGTGTGTGTGTAGGTTGTAGCCGTGTTGGGTCTAAGGACATAGGCAGACATGGTACTTTGGGTGAATCTAATATCTTGTATTAGACAAACTTAAATAGTTGAAAAAATGTTGAAAAAATAATATGGAAAAATATATGTATATATGTCTTTTGGTTCGAGTTGATATGTTTTATTAGACCAATTTGGAGGTGGGTTGATGTATACGAAGGGGAGTCTCAACCCCTTCTGCATTCTGCCTAGCTTGAAAAAGGATACTGTGCTATTCAAAAGCTTGCTAGAAGCATCAACCCACCTCCAAGTTGGTCTAATAAAACATATCAACTCAGACCAAAGGAGTCTATCATATAGCCCCCGACCAATGTTGACCCCAAAAGAAAACTCGTATCTCTATATCTACATCTCTGTATAGATGAACACACACATGCAAGCAGGGGCCGGTGGCATTAGTGCTGGCTTGGCATCTGGACCTGTACAGCAGCATTTCTCAACCTGTTTCAGGTTGGGGGTGGGTGTTGTATAGCTGTGTTGGTGTAAGGACCCGGGCAGACAGGGTTCTTTGGGTAGATGGGATATCTTTTATTAGACCAACTAAATAGTTGGAGAAATTGTTCTTTGCAAGCTTTTGGGCACAAATGCCCTATGTAAAATAGACTCTCCTTATCCCTGAAGAAGGGTGTTTTGCGTCTGAAAGCTTGCAAAGAATAGTTTTTCCAATCATTTAGTTGGTTTAATAAAAGAGATCCCATATACCCAAAGAATCTCGTCTTTCTCAATCTGTGGGTCGCGGCCCCAAAGTGCGCCACACACCCACCCCCTGGCTTACACATTGTGGGGCCTGGGGGCAAGGGGCACTGGGTCAGGACTGCCCACTGATGTTTAAAAATGGGTCCTGGTACAAAAAAGGTAGAGAACCACTGGACTAGAAACCTTCTCTGACTGTCCCACACCCACCCAACTGTAATTTGCCACTAGAAGGCTGGTAAGCCAGGACAAACTTCTGTCCCTGCTGTAGGGGCTGGGGAGTGAGAGATCACCTGGGACATGGGGACTTCTGCTGTAGGCAGTGGCCACACACCTTGATGGAATGGGAGCTGGGTAGTGCAAATCTGAGAGAATCCTGCCCTGGGTGACTGGTGCTGCCTTAGTGCCACCCCCTGCAGCAACCAAACAGCAACCGGAGGAGTCCCCTGCGGCCAGTCTCACCGATGGGGGGCCCTGTGGCAAAACTTACCAACCCCCCTCTACAGGAGCAGGAGGGAGAAGGAGAAAAGCGCACTGTCTGCCTGTATAGAATGTTCCGTCTCCTGAGAGAGATTCTCTGTGAAGCTACTTCACTTGGGTTGTTACTGAGTTATTTTTCTTCCCTGGTGGCCACTTTTACTCCGGGAAAACAATTACGGACTTCTGTATGTTCCTGGTTTCTCCTGAGCAAGCAGGGATTCTCCCTAGAGAATCTGAACATCTGCCCAAGTCCTTTGTAAGTGTACAGATACTCAGTCTCCTGGGAGAAACTCCCAAGAGTAATTTAAGCCTGGCTGATCCTGGGTTTTCTCCTGGAGCAACCATTTTTTGCTCCGGGAGGGAAAAGCCTGTGTAGCTATATATATGTGGTTTCTGCTGGGAGAGAAGTGACTCTCCCATGGAAACTGAATGTCTGTACATGGCCTAAATGTTCTTTTCCATCCTGAATGCAGCCTTTTCAGGGACTGAGGCAGAACTGCATTACAGGAGGCATATGTGTTGCCTATTCTATTGGCAAAAAGAGTGCTTGGTTTCCTGACATGGCAAGGTAGTTCCTCCTGCGAATACTAAATGCAATTGGTATTTTTTTAACGTAAAACAAAGATATAAACACAAATGATTAGAGAGTTCTTTATTAAATTGATCCTCGCTTGACAGGGACTCAACAATATGTAATTAACTTATGGAACTCATTGACACAAGTTATTATGGAGACCTGGTATTTTAACCTTGTTCGAAAGGAAATTGGGCAAGTTTGTGGAGGAAAGGTCCATCAGTCAGTATTGCATTCAGTGGATAGGCATGTAGGTAGGGATATTGCCTCTGAATCGAAACTTTGAATTCTGAAAGTTCCAGATGAAGAGAACAAGGAAGTAGAAAATTCTGGACGTTCCCTGTTCACTCCCCCTCACCTTCACCTCCCCCAGCATTTGCTATCTACCACCATGCAAGGAAAGATAATGGGCTAGATGGGCAAGATCTTTTGTTCCTGTGTCCCTAATAGAAAACATTCTCTTCTTAACAGAAACCTGAAATTTTCCTCTGGAAAACTAGCTAGATTTGCTGATGGATGTGCTGTAGTGCAGGTAAAAATCTATGGAACTTCAACATTGATAAATCAACATGGATAAATGTACAGTCTTTTACCGGACTATCAGAGCCTATGACATGGGATGGGAATTGGAATTGGCTAGGCTTTATAACTACCTATTTCATAGAGAGAGATACTTTGAGAAATCCTTAAAAAGTAACTATTACAGATAGTTCATTCATTTGGTACTTCGCTGGGGGGAATTCTGTACTGGAGAAATGAAATTGTACTAAACGATATATTTATTAAAATGTCGTGGCTATAAGTAATTTCACCTTTTTTTTTTTTTTAAATCAAGTTAGGTGACACATCAGTGATGGTTACAGCAGTCAGTAAAACAAAATCTTCTGTATCCCAGTTCATGCCCCTGGTGGTGAGTACAAATTATTCACTGTCCAAATTGATGCTATAAATACCCACAGAAAGTAGAACTTGAGAAGTAGATGTTATATACTGTAAATATTGTAAAATTTATGCAAGATTAATTTTTCACTGTGGTAACAGTAAATAACATTAAACAATTTTATTCAGATGTGTTATTGTAAAACTAACTCTTAACTGTGATTTTGTTGATTTAATTAGGAAAGAGCGGATAATGTTCTTTATTAATCTCTGTGTAATTTTATAAGGTTGATTATCGTCAAAAAGCTGCTGCAGCAGGAAGGATTCCCACAAACTACCTTAGGAGAGAGCTTGGTACTACTGATAAAGAAATTCTTACAAGCAGAGTGATAGGTATGGGAAAACATTGTAAAAACTGCTTCTAGTACTTTATTTTCATCATTTGTGATATCTTCCTCAATGTTGGAAAAAGGAGGGTTATCTGTGATCATAATTTTCAGAGTTTATTGCCTCTGCAGCAATATTAGGAAAAGCGCATTTCTGAAAGTGCTGCAAGGCTCAAATCTGTTTTAAAAACAAATCAGCTGGGGCTGCTTGCACATTTCTTTATATGAGATTCCAAAATAGCAAATAGCTTGTTAGATCTCTTCACTCTTGAGACTAGAACTTCTGATACCTCTGACCAAGGGGACTGTTATTTTTTGAAGCTCCTACTGCTTCCACAAGGGAGGAGGAGGAAGAGGAACTTAAACTGCAATCTTTGGTAGACAGAGGCAGTCTTATTGGCTTCATCTTCCTCCCAGCCTTCCTTGTTACCTGAAAAGTCATCTCCAGGAAAGTTAAAACTTGTTTCTAGAATGAGGTGAGAAGAGCTTCATGTTCAGTTTACTGTATTTATTCAACTATAAGATGTCTCTGATTATAAGATGATCCCCCAATAATTAGATTCTATGTATAGAAAACATGTAAATTTTGTTATAATTTTCCAGATATAAAATCTAATTGTTGGGAGGTTTGTCCTGAATTTGTCAACCTCCAGCTCCTACAACAGGGGAAAGAAATCTGGGGTGTCAGGTAACCCCTGTCTCATCTTCTGTCTCTGTGACCCTGCTCTCCATAAGCACATGGAAGTGAAGAACAAATTTGAAAAAACTAACCTTGAAATAACCATAGCTATAGTAATTTACATATAGTATCCATAGATTTAGTTCACCTAGAGTTGATGATGCATTTTACATTTTTTGAAACTGTTGCAGGAAAGATACTCCATAAACACATTTTTAAGCAACATTTTAGCAGCACTTACTTAGAGAGATAACACAGAATGCATTATAGTAGTCCAAAGCCAAAAAACATTATATTTTACCACATAGTTCACTGGGGTGAGCCCCAGCAGAGTCAACACCATTTCAAAATACGGTGACCCCACAGCTTAGCATTGCTCAGTATGTATGTGTACTGTAGATACCCTGCCCCTGCTACAAAGGATCCATGTGCTAATTAGCCCCCATTCATGACTGGAACCAGGTGTTCTTTTCACAAGTCCTGGGATCCTCTAAACATTTATATTCAGATGAGATACAGGGCAGTCTGGTCCAGCTTCATCTCATGAAGGGCAGGGCCACGTTAATCATATGCAATAGGTTGAGAGAGGGGGTGACAGAGGGATTCTGGGTGAACTGTTTGGAGCCCTGTTTGGTGATGTTTGCCAGACATTTAAGGCTGATGAAGAAACAGGAATCACTAGAAGTGGGAAAGAAAGAAACAGTTCCCCTGTGGGAGTGAAGAGGAAGTCAAAATGTATGCAGTGTTATGGCTCCCCATGAACAGTAAAAGAGCCATTGCTGAGGGGGTTTGCACTCAATGAACATTAGTATAAATGTTTTATTTGGATGGCCTGTATTACCTCTTCATAGTCTTGCTCAGTGTTGGCTCTATTTAATCAATTTCATAGTTGGTTTGTGTTATTGAGCACAGCAGTTCAAAGATAGGCAGTGTATTTAATGCAGTTTCCTTGTATGTAAATGTAAGACAAGAAACATTTCATATTATATTCAAGTAAATATCCTAGTTAAAGCTAGCAGGATTTACTAGATAAAGATAATCTAAAGGGTGGCACCTTTGAGACTGAGTGGTCACTGAGGCATGGGGTTTGATAGACATATTTCAGCTGATGCTGTGAAGGGACTTGCAGAAAGAAAAGGTTTTAAATAGAGAGGAAAAGGTCAATAAGGATGAGCAAAGCAGTTATGGAGGGACATGAGAATAAACAGAGAGGGTTAAAAGATAATCCAGGTAATAGGATAAGAACATGTGGTTTTGGTTGAGACCATATTTAACATAATCCACAAGTTGTTTTTTTTGTTTAAGGACAGCTGCTCAGGAAGTTAGTAAAGTTCAGTGATGGAATGTTCTAGGGACATTAAAGTGTTCTGCCATGGGCTTTTGTGTGCCTCTGGGTTTGATGTCAAATGGATGTCTGTTTATTTTTTTGTTTAGGGTTAGCTCTGTCTAGCCCAGGGCAGGCAATTATTTTGGGTGGAGGGCTGCTTACAGAGTTTTGGCAAGCCATCGAGGGCTGCATGACAGGCAGCCAGGGACAGATAAATATTAATATTCTATATTTTTAGGGGCCCCACAGGCCAGATAGAAAGACCTGGTGAGCCACATCCGGCCAGCAGGCCACATTTTGCCCACCCCTGGTCTAGCCAATGCAGACAGCTGAAGGGCACTGTAAACAGGTGATGCTGTATATGATGTTGGTAGAAGAGCAGGTGAATGAATCCTGGATGTTATATTTTGTGTGGTTAGGGAACTGATGGGCAGAATCCTCTGGGATTCAAGTCTGATGTGGGGAAAAAGTCCAGGAGGGCTGGCTGTGCTTTAAGGAGAGCCTTTTAAGGGCATAGGAGCAAGCTATCCCGATGCAATGCAAGAACAGGAAGTGCAACAGGAAACCAACTTGGCTGGACAGCAACTTCTTCAATGAATTGAAACTCAGAAAAATCCTATACAAAGTGGAAACTTGGTCATAGTACTAGGAAAGAGTATGAGACCATCATGTGGTTATGCAGGGAGAATTAGGGAGATGAAGGCACAGTTTGAGATGCAGCTAGCAAGGGACGTAACAGGTAATAAAAAGGGATTTTACAAGTTTGTGAAAATAACAGGAAGACCAAAGATACCATAGGTCCCTTAAAAATGCAGAAGATGGTTTAGTTATGGATGATGCAGACAAAGCTGAAGTATTTAATGCCTCTTTTACTTCATTCTTCACAAGTAGGGTCAGCTACCAGATGCTGAGTGCCATTGGCAGCAAAGATTCATAGATGTTAGGGTCGGAAGGGACCTCAATAGATCATCGAGTCCAACCCCCTGCATAGGCAGGAAAAAGAAGTTCTTCCTAATGTCCAGTCTAAATCTGCTCTCTGCTATCTTATGGCCATTATTTCTTGTGATCCCTGGGGCGCCTTGGTGAGTAGAGCCTCACCAATTCCCTTCTGTGCCCCCATGATGAACTTATAGGCAGCCACAAGGTCGCCTCTCAACCTTCTCTTGCAGAGGCTGAAGAGGTCCAGGTGCCCTAGTCTCTCCTCATAGGGCTTGGCCTGCAAGCCCTTAACCATACGAGTGGCCCTTCTCTGGACCCTCTCCAGGTTAGCCACATCCCTCTTGACATGCGGTGCCCAAAACTGTATGCAGTATTCCAACTGCGGTCTGACCAGCGCCCGATAGAGGGGAATTATCACCTCCTTGGTTCTGTTCGTCATGCATCTGCTGATGCACAATAAAGTGCCATTAGCTTTCCTGATGACTTTGTCACACTGACGACTCATGTTCATCTTGGAGTCCACTAGGACTCCAAGGTCCCTTTCCGCTTCCGTTCTACCAAGCAGGTCATTTCCTAGGCAGTAGGTATGCTGGACATTTTTCCTCCCTAGGTGCAGCACTTTGCATTTCTCCTTGTTGAATTGCATTCTGTTGTTTTCCGCCCATATGTCCAACCTGTCCAGGTCTGCTTGTAGTTGTTCCCTGCCCTCTGGTGTGTCCACTTCTCCCCACAGTTTTGTCATCCGCAAACTTGGACAGAGTACACTTCACTCCCTCGTCCAAGTAGCTGACGAAGACATCAAAGAGTATCGGTCCAAGGACTGAGCCCTGCGGGACCCCACAGCCCACACCCTTCCAGGTGTGGGGAAGAAGACAAACAGGCTAGAGTAGTAGAAGAGCAGGTTAGGGATTACAAAAATGCTAGATGCTTTCAAATCAGCTTGGCTGGAAGGGGTGAACCTTGGGTACTGAAAGAATTGGCTGAGGTAATTTTCAGAGCCATTGGCTGTCCTCTTGGAGAACTTGTGGAGGTTGTGTGAGGTCCTGGAAGCCTGGAATAGGTTAAACATAGTACCCATTTTCAAGAAAGGAAGAAGCAGCTGGGGCCCTACAGACCAGTCAACATGACCCCTAAACCTGAAAGATCATGGAGCATGTCCTCAAGGAACCCATTATGAAGCATGTAGAAGAGACCAAGGTGATCAGGAATAGCCAGCATGGATTTACCAAGAACAAGTCGTGCTTGACCAATGTGATTTCCTTCTGTGATAAGCTGTAGGGGCAGTAGGACCCAGGGGAATCCTCGGCAGGCTCCTGCAACAGCAGGGCCTGCCCAGCCCACCCCACCAGCCACGTGGCTGCCCCAGCATGGGAAGCTCAGGTGAGGCGGGGGGGGGGCCGCCGGTTTCCTTGGGCTGGTGAGACCAGAGCTGGCGCGGGGCGCGGGCTGGTGGTGGGGGCGGGTTACAAACTGGTGCTGTGTGTGGTGGAAAAGCAGCCCCTCCCCCACCCTGTGCCTGACGCCCAGCACTGCAACTGCTCGTAGCCCGCGTGGGGCTGTCTGTGCCTGCTCAGGACAGTGCTGCGTGGGCTGTGAGCAGCTGCAGCAGGGAGCACTAGCCACGGGGCAGGCGAGAGACTGCTTTTCCCCATGCTTTGCACCAGCTCCTTCCCTGCCAGCAAGCAGGGGGTCGGGGCTGTGCGCTGCCCCCCGCCTGTACCGCGGGGCTCGGGGGCACTGGGAGTGAGCAGGCACAGGAGCACAGGACCTGCACCAGTGTCCCAAGGCCAGCGCCAGCAGGGCCCAGAGCAGGGTGGCAGTGGTACAGGGTCCTGGGTGGCTGGGGCTCTATGGAGTC